AAACAAACTAAACTTTCATCTCCATTTTAGATTTCTGGGAGAAAAGTTCAGCTCAAGGCCAATTCATACATTTCTTCATTCACAAAACATTTATAAGTGACTGTGCTGTACCGGTGTGACCCAAATAGCCAGGTTCTTAATTGCACATGGAGTAACGGCTGCCCGTGAGGTGCGATGTGAGGGCACCGAGAACCTTCTCAGACTACTCATTCCTTCTCAGGTGCTCCCATCCAGTGGGGTCACTCATATCCTGGGGAGGACTCTCATGGGAGCATTGGCTTCATCCACCTCTGCCGACTCGGGGTCAGGCCGGCTTAGAAACACCTGGCAATGACGAGGGAAGAGAGAAAGGAGGCTTAACAAGAAAGGGGACGGTGAGCATCTCCTTCGCTATTAGTCAGTTTCTGAGTCCAGTGATCATATTTACTCAAACAAAAATGTCACGTGACTTGTCTATGGCCATGCCCGATCCCGTCTGATGTCGGAAGCTAAGCAGGGTCGGGTCTGGTTAGTACTTGGATGGGAGACCACCTAGGAAGACCAGGTGTAAAAAAAGTAAAAAGAATAAAAAAGTCATGTGGCTTGACAAGGATGGTTCAGTGAACCAACTGGTTAAGAGAACAAGAAGCTGGAGCAGCAAATCCAGGTTATATAGGAATCATGAGAGAACTCGAGTGCCTGGATGCAGTAGCTGTGTGACTTCGGGCCAGTTACTGCCTCAGTTCCCTCACTGGTGAAATAAGGCTAATCACACACCTTCCACTTAAGTATTAAATGAGTTAATATAGGTGCTGAACTTAGTAACTGCTAGATCAGTTTGCTATTGTTCCCATTGATATTATTATTATATGATATTAAAATAGGGTTGCCAGATGTGGCAAATGAAAATACAGGATGCCCAGTTAAATTCGAACTACAGATAAATAACAAATCGGTTTTTAGCATAAGTATATCCCCAAACATCGCATGGGCTATACTTATACTTACAAATTATTCATTGTGTGTCTGAGCTTCAAATATAACTAAGCATCCTATATTTTATCTGTCAACCCTCCATTAGAACCATACTCGATGGTTTTCAAAGGCCTTTCACCACCTTCTCTAGTTCAAGTTTCACAAGAGGCTTTTGAAGTGGGGCGAGCACAGAATCCTTTGCCCTTTTAAATCTGAGGAGGTGACCGGCTGTGGTGCTATGCAGGATCCAGAGCTTGAGGCTTGAGGAATTTTTGCTTCTGGTCTAGTAATGCGGTCAGGCCTGCCCCATAGGAGCTTTAAGTTAAAAGGAAAGACTGCAGACAAGACATAATCAAACGGCTCTATCATTCCGAGGGCTACAAAATTCAAGAAAGTATAAGAGTTCTGGCACCCAGAAATATTTTATACATATTCAAACAGATATGTCTGTATTTTCTCTCTCTTTTAAATAAAACAAGTGGCATAGTGTATACCTTGTCTCCACCCCCACTTAGTGTGCTGGCTGGAAAATTACTGCTTGGCTATTTCCCATGGGAACACAGGTTATCACCCACGAGAACATAACATTCTAACAATTAGCTTTCTGCTTCTGTACCCCCACTTGCACAACTGACCTGTGGGTTGACAGATAGTAAATAGAAGAAAAATTGACTTTTGTGTTCAGACGGAATGAGGAATGGGGTTTAGGGCTTAAAAACCCTATACCTCAACATTTTGGGGCTGCTTAATTTGGGGTCTGCATACTCCTGGCAGACCCAGCTGGCTGAATAAAGAGTGTGTTTCCTATAACTCACTGGTTTCTGGTGGTCCGTGTGTCTATCGGGGACTGGTGGCTACGACATTAGCCACCAACGTATTTTGTAGCCCTTTCCATATCAAAACCTAAAAGAAGTCTTTATTCTTTTTTAAAGCTGCATAGTTCTCCACTGCGTGGATGTAATATAATTTACCTGGAGATTGGTTTGTCTTTTATCATAATAAAGCACCACTTAATAACATTTTATATAGGATATTTTGCACATATGAGATTACATCTGTAGGATAAACTCCTAGAACTGTATTTCTGAGCATGGTCAGAGAGTATGGGCATCAGTCATGGTAACGGATTTTATGAAAACATCCTCCGTACAGGTTGTCCCAGCCCCGAGTCTCACCAGCGATCTATCAGAACTCTGTGTGTAAGCACCCTCACCAATGCCACAGGCCACCAAACTTTTGGATATTTGCCAATCAGTTGGAA